TGACAGTTAAGATAAAACTACGCGTTTGCTACAATTATTTTTCGCCCCCTGCAGCGGGTAAATAGTTACATAGTTACAGTTAAGATTCAGATAAGACTACGCCTTTGCTACATTTTTTTTTCCGCCTGCGGCGGGCAGATAGTTACTATTTACACTTAAGATAAAAGACTATAGTCTATAGCGACGACACCTTTGCTACAGTAAAAAATTACCGCCTGCGGCGGGCCAATAGTTAAATATTAAATAGTTACAAGTTAGTTACTTTTTTTAATCTAAAATGAAATACTTTAGTGACGACACCTTTGCTACAATATTTTTCCGCCTGCGGCGAGCAGATAGTTACAGTTAGTAGCTATATACTTAAAATAAAAAACAAGATATAGTGACGACACCTTTGCTCCAGTTAAAAAATGACCGCTGCGGCGGGCCAATCGTTACAATAATTTTTTCCAAGTTAAGTTAAAAATAAAGTACTTTAGTGACGACACCTTTGCTACAGTAGAAAAAGTTCCGCCTGCGGCGGGCAGACTCTACTCTTAACAGTCTTAACATTTACCAGTTTGTACTTATTAGTTCCTTTTTTTTCGAGTCACTGGTTACTAAATTACTAGTTATTAATTACTAAACAACCATAAAAAACCATAAAAACTTTCAAAAAAAACAAAAAACAAAACATAAAAAACCCATAAATTTTATACAAAATTTACATAAAATTCATGATTTTTTTTAATGTTTTGATGTTTTTAAAAAAAAACAAAAAAAAACATTAAAAAAAAACATAAAAACACACAAAAAAAAATGTATAAATTTTATATAAATTTTATATAAAATTTATATAAAATCTATATAAAATTTATATAAAATTTATTTAAAAAAAAAATATATGGAAAATTGTACCTTCAAAATTTTCAAAAACCATAAAAAAAACATAAAAAAAACATAAAAAAAATCTTTCATTTTCATAAAATAAACCATAAAAAATCATATCAAATTCATATCAAAATCATATCAAAATCATAAACCAAAAAATGCCAAAAATCAAAACCATAAACCAAAACCATATTAAAATCATAAAAAAAATCATTTTAAAAAAAAAATCTAAAAACTATTTTTTTGGCAACTTCCGAACTCGCAATACTACTGTGTACTACAAAGCTCGCACAAAGCACTTCCCAGTACTACTGTGTACTACAAAGCTCGCACAAACTACTTCCCAGTACTATTGTGTACTACAAAGCTTGCAAAAAGCCGTTCCCAGTACTACTGTGTACTACAAAGCTTGCACAAAGCACTTCCCAGTACTACTGTGCACTACAAAGCTCGCACAAACACGTTCCCAGTACTACTGTGTACTACAAAGCTTGCACGAAGCACTTCCCAGTACTACTGTGTACTACAAAGCTTGCACAAAGCACTTCCCAGTACCACTTTTTACTACAAAGCTTGCACAAAGTCGTTCCCAGTACTACTGTGTATTACAAAGCTTGCACAAAGCACTTCCCAGTACTACTGTGTACTACAAAGCTTGCACAAAGCACTTCCCAGTACTACTTTGTACTACAAAGCTTGCACAAAGTCGTTCCAGTACTACAGTGTGTGCTACAAAGCTCAGCACAAACTCTTGCACTAAACTATTTCCCAGTACTACTGTGTACTACAAAGCTCGCACAAAGCACGTCCCAGTACAACTGTGGACTACAAAGCTGCACAAACCACTTCCCAGTACTACTGTGTACTACAAAGCTTGCACAAAGCACTTCCCAGTACTACTGTGTACTACAAAGCTTGCACAAACACGTTCCCAGTACTACTGTGTACTACAAAGCTTGCACGAAGCACTTCCCAGTACTACTGTGTACTACAAAGCTTGCACAAAGCGTTCCCAGTACTACTGTGTACTACAAAGCTTGCACAAAGTCGTTCCCAGTACTACTTTGTACACAAAACTGGCACAAACACGTTCCCAAACACAAAGTCGTTCCAGTACTACTGTGTACTACTACAAGTACTTGCACAAACAAAGCTCACAGTAAACTACTTCGACAACGTAGCAAAAAAAACGAGGTTTTGCAGCTTCCCCGATGTGCACGTAGCAAAAAAACACGAGGTTTTGCAGCTTCCCCTATAGACACTGCGACAGCTACGTAGCAAAACACGCGAAGTTTTGCAGCTTCCCCTATAGACACTGCGACATCTACGGAGCAAAAAACACGAGGTTTTGCAGCTTCCCCTATAGACACTGCGACATCTACGGAGCAAAAAACACGAGGTTTTGCAGCTTCCCCTATAGACACGGCGACATCCACATAGCATAAAGACACGAGGTTTTGCAGCTTCCCCTATAGACACTGCGACATCTACGCAGCAAAAGACACGAGATTTTGCAGCTTCCCCTATAGACACTGCGACATCTACGCGCAAAAACACGAGGTTTTGCAGCTTCCCCTATAGAACGGCGACAACGTAGCAAAAGACACGAGATTTTGCAGCTTCCCCTATAGACACTGCGACATCTACGCAGCAAAAAACACGAGGTTTTGCAGCTTCCCCTATAGACACTGCGACATCTACGTAAGCAAAAAACACGAGGTTTTGCAGCTTCCCCTATAGACACTGCGACATCTGCGTTGCAAAACACACGAGGTTTTGCAGCTTCCCCTATAGACACTGCTACATCTACGTAGTAAAAAACACGAGGTTTTGCAGCTTCCCCTATAGACACTGCGACATCTACGTAGCAAAAAATACGACGTTTTGCAGCTTCCCCTATAGACACTACTACATCTACGCAGCAAAAAACATGAGGTTTTGCAGCTTCCCCCATAGACACTGCTACATCTACGTAGCAAAAAACACGAGGTATTGCAGCTTCCCCTATAGACACTGCGACAGCTACGTAGCAAAACACGCGAGGTATTGCAGCTTCCCTTATAGACACTGCGACATCTACGCAGCAAAAAACACGAGGTGTTGCAGCTTCCCCTATAGACACTGCTACATCTACGGAGCAAAAAACACGAGGTTTTGCAGCTTCCCCTATAGACACTGCGACATCTACGTAGCAAAACACACGAGGTTTTGCAGCTTCCCCTATAGACACTGCTACATCTACGTAGCAAAAAACACGAGGTTTTGCAGCTTCCCCTATAGACACTGCGACATCTACGCAGCAAAAATCACGAGGTTTTGCAGCTTCCCCTATAGACACTGCGACAGCTACGTCGCAAAAGACACGAGGTTTTGCAGCTTCCCCTATAGACACTGCGACATCTACGTAGCAAAACACACGAGGTTTTGCAGCTTCCCCTATAGAGACTGCTACATCTACGTAGCAAAACACACGAGGTTTTGCAGCTTCCCCTATAGACACTGCGACATCTACGTTGCAAAAAACACGAGGTTTTGCAGCTTCCCCTATAGACACTGCGACATCTACGTAAAAAAAACACGAGGTTTTGCAGCTTCCCCTATAGACACTGCGACATCTACGTAGCAAAAAACACGAGGTTTTGCAGCTTCCCCTATAGACACTGCGACATCTACGTTGCAAAAAACACGAGGTTTTGCAGCTTCCCCTATAGACACTGCGACATCTACGTTGCAAAAAACACGAGGTTTTGCAGCTTCCCCTATAGACACTGCGACATCTACGTCGCAAAAGACACGAGGTTTTGCAGCTTCCCGTATAGACACTGCGACATCTACGTCGCAAAAAACACGAGGTTTTGCAGCTTCCCCTATAGACACTGCGACATCTACGTCGCAAAAGACACGAGGTTTTGCAGCTTCCACGTCGCAAAAAACACGAGGTTTTGCAGCTTCCCCTATAGACACTGCGACATCTACGTTGTAAAAAACACGAGGTTTTGTAGCTTCCCCTATAGACACTGCGACATCTACGTCGCAAAAAACACGAGGTTTTGCAGCTTTCCCTACAGATACTGCGACATCTACGTAAAAAACACGAGGTTTTGCAGCTTCCCCTATAGACACTGCGACATCTACGTCGCAAAAAACACGAGGTTTTGCAGCTTCCCCTATAGACACGGCGACATCTACGTTGCAAAAAACACGAAGTTTTGCAGCTTCCCCTATAGATACTGCGACATCTACGTCGCAAAAAACATGAGGTTTTGCAGCTTCCCTTATAGACACTGCGACATCTACGTCGCAAAAGACACGAGGTTTTGCAGCTTCCCCTATAGACACCGAATTAACGACGCGAAAAACGACGCGAAAACGACGCGAAAACGACGCGCCGACCAACTGGCGGCGAACAAAGGTCCAACCCCCAGACCCCCAACTATAAACGGGAACCCTTCGCTACGCATTCGGGAAAAAATGATGCTGGTTTTATCCCATGAGATCGGCCTGGGGTGTCATCATCCGGGCTGGTGAGTTCAATGGGATTGATCCTATGAGAATTCCATGAGAATTCCATGAGAATTCCCTATCATAACCCCATAAACCAACATGGATTTCAATAGAAACTCTTGGAAAACCCCCAATTTATCCAATGATATGATGATATATCATAGGGATTTTGGATATATGAACAGATATATATATATATCATTGGGTGATCATAATGTTCCTCCATTTCAATAGCCATTTCACTTGCTATAGACTCCTGGAATTTACCTGCGATGATCCCTCGGACAAATTTTGGCACCAAAAAACCACTAACCACATCGGCGTCAAAAATATCCCCGTTTCTGTGCCAAATGGAAATGATGGAAAATAAGATGATTCCAATATGACATATATATATAAATATAAATATATATATATATATGATCAAATATATCAAAATGGTATATATGAGCATATTTTCGGTGCATATATATTATATATATATGTTACATGTGATATATATATATTATGTTATATATTATATATTTTGGTATAAATGATGTATATATGTACCACTAGATGGAATGGGGTACCCTACTTTTAGACCAAAGAAGGTACACCATGGTGATACCCAGATGATCCCTGGCCTGTTGAGTGGCGTCAGATGCTGTATCCACCACACTGCCACCTGGTCATCTTGATGGCTGGCCTGGGGGCCTAAGCCTCCCCCCAAAAAAAAACATGGTTTCCTTGTTTCAATGGGAATTTCAGGATTCTAAATTGGAGATACCTACCATATATAAGACTTATATAAGGGCTAAATTTCAGGGAATTCCCATTGATTGTTTCCCTGTCCAAAATAACCAAGCGTCAACGAAAGATGATAACGTGGGATCCCTCTTGTGCTTGAGAAACCAAGCAGTTGCAATGAGGTATGACAAGCCCAAGACTTACCCTCTGGTTTTGTCAAAATAGCTATTGAAAATTGCCATTTATAGTGGTTTTTCCCATTAAAAATTGTGATTTTCCATAGTTATGTTAGTTTACCAGAGGGTTATTATATAATATGGTATAACGATCAATGATTGTTGATGATTATATTTACAAACCTAAGACTAATTGTGGGATAATTTAGTGGGATAATAGGATAATTGCAGAATTAAAAATGGGATAACTGTGGGATACTCCAGTTATAGGTAAGTCAGTAAGGGTAATTATGACAGTAGATCATTCCTAGTCTGGGTTTATGTAGCTGGGTATGGTATGATGTCTTTATGCAATGAACGCCCAATGGTCGGTTACATGGTTCATGGCATTGGCTAAGCAGTTGTGGGATGCCACCCTGCACGGTAAAAATGTCTGAAAAAAGGCTCCGTAAAAATCCCAATGTTTCCATGTTTGCAAGCATAATTCTACTGCTTATGGACAAATTGCATACTTAACTTGACTGAACCCATATGAAAAATAAACAGCAACTATGTGTATATATATATACAGTTACATATGTATATATTCATATAGAGAGAGAGAGAGATTGGTTTATTCAAAATAGTTATATGGAGGTTTCCTAAATGGTGGTACAGTACCCCAAAATCATCAATTTTAATAGGAGTTTCCCAAAAACAAGCCATCCAGCTGTTTGGGTATCCCCATTTATGGAAACCTCCATATATACAACATTAGTAATGTCAACTCTGGATTAATAAACCCCAAACGGCTGTTTAATTGGGGGGATACCATTTAAGTATTGGATGAAATGACTATTGGAGGAGTACCCCCCTAATAAACCATGGTTTATTAATCCAGGTTTTTGAACACTCTCTGGTAAACATACCAAAAACTATGGAACATCACCATAGCTATAATGGGTAGTCATCCACTATAAATAGGTCATTTTCAATAGCTATGTAACAAATTACCAGAGGGTAACAATGCTGTTGATTATTCACGGTGTACCATGTTGTAGCCATTTGTTCATACCAGGATTATTTGATCATTACGGGGTTGACATTACGGGTCAATATTATGATCATGGTTCAATACCACGATAATTCCTAGGTAATTTAATAAACCATAGTTTACTTATCAACCCAGTTACGGATATAATCCACCATTAAAACCATTAAATCAATGGGTAATACCACTATAATTAATGGCTAAATCCCACCATTTTTAATGGCTTCACCATTACGGGTCTCCTATGGGAACCCCTGCCACCCCCAACTGGTCAACCGCATCAACCGCTACGCCACCTGTGTGGATCAGTCCCCCAGGTGCCACTCGCCCCTGCAGGATGGAGAGGATCTGGGGACATAGCCAATGATCAAAAAAACGAGGGATATAATGGCTATATAATGGCTATATAATGGCTATATCATGGCTATATCATGGCTATATTAAATGGCGATAGAATGGCTATATAATGGCTTAATATAGGAAAAAAACATGGGATATCATGGTTATATGTTCATGAGAGTATTTTCTGGGGATATACTCTTCTGGATGATCCTCCAAGTATCCAATCATCAGCCAGAAAAATCCTGGATTTTTTCCCATCCATTGGCAGGGCATGGCCCTTCAACCCATTCGGTTTAGTAACTCGATCAGGAATGGCGATGCCGCCGATATATAAATTGACATATATTTTGACCATGGGTTCCTTTAGTGCTCCAGGCATTTGTAACTTGGTTTTGGCAACTACCTCTGTAAGTTTCCAACTACGAAAATGAACTAATGCCTTCCAACTGATAGTAAAAACCCTCTTTAAAACAATGCTTTAATATTGGAGATATTCCTCTTGGGTTCCCTTATTCGAGGGGGTATTTGATATTAGGGTGATGGGATTACCATAAACCTTGCGAAAAATGAACAGTAGCGGTAGTGGCGTTGGGTTTGAATTTGAGGCGAAATCGTTGGTAAATTGATTGATTTCAGCCCACATGCCATTTGTTTCATCCTCTCCCCGTGGCCCTTTCCCGCCATCACACCTGCGTCATGTCTTCATGGCCGCAACGACACACGACACGTCCATGACATGTGGCTTCATCGAGACAACAAGGCGTCCAAGAAATCCAAGTGGTGTGGCCCAAGCGTTCCAAAAACCGGTGGAAACAAGCAACCAAAATGGGTCAAATGGCCGAATCCAGTGGGTGAAACACCAAAAAAATGTGATTTCATGGGATTCATTTTTCATGGTGATGAAACACCAAAACAGTGTAATTCTTCACCATCAAATACCAACAAAGAAACGACAAGCAGTAGATCCACACGAAATGAACCATTTTCTTCATGGATCCACACTGCTGACCATCCATCCAGGTCCTCCCTGCTCCCACAGTGTCACAGGCCCTATTTTTGGCGCCGGGTCGATCCATGTGGATCTACTTTCGAAATGTCCAAGTCATTTCCGCAAACCTTGATGAACTTCATGCGAACTTCGTGCACTTCCAAAGTCTCTTTGTGTGTCATTAACTCTATATAATTTCGATGACATATCTTTTCTATTCCATTCTTCATTGCATTCTTGACGCCACACAGCAGCACCATGTGAGCTATATTGGACTGGTTTTATTAGTGACACTTGGGCATGCTCCGCTCATGGGCTGCGAAAGAGCACATTCTCGCTGCAGGCTTAAGTTGACGATCCAGTGAGGGAGCATAATCTTCCGCTGCAATTTCAATATCAAGGTCTGCAATCGATGACGCCTTCAGTCTACGTGAAAGCGACAAGAGGGCAGCTTTAGGACGGGACAACCAAAGCTAAAGCGAGACTCCGAAAAACGCAAAAATTGTTGAAATGTTTCAGTTGATGGTGAGCAAACTTGTGTTCCAAATATGTTGTTGGTTGGGCAAAGCAAGAGGAATAAGAAGAGAAAAATTGAAGACGGAGCCCCCCTTTCTTCAATGCCTGGCGCCGAACTTGTGCCTCTTCACGTTCCAAAAATGCTACAAATTCCGATGATAATCGCATCATCTTCGATGATGACTTTGCAAGGCATCAAAGCACCACTCCCAGCACAACGGCAAGCTGGTTCGCCCAGTCGCATGGCAGCTCCAAACTCCAATTTTGGAGATGCAGAGAAAGGCGGCTTGGACGGTGGTGCTCCTACTGATCAGACGACCAATGTGAATTCGGGCTGTCAGAACTGCCCCTTTGGAGGGGGATCTCTCTGGCGGGGTCCTGCACTGTTTCAATGATCAATTGGAACGGTGATGTTTTCAGTATACCATCCCACCAACTAAAATAGACCCTGCAAATCGTCCATTGTTAAAAGTACCCTCTGGTAAACTAACATAACTATGGAAAATCACCATGTTCAATGGGAAAATCCACTATAAATGGTCATTTTCAATAGCTATGTTAAATTACCAGAGGGTAAAGGGTACTACGTAGTCACAGTCTTTCAACCCCAACTCAAGGCATGGTCTATGTTACTTGGAGTGCAAAAAAAAGACCAGTGAGAGTTATTTGGTGCTTAAAAAACCCACATGGTCCGAGGTCAAATTCCAACATACCCAAACCGGTTTTGTGGCAAAAATATCGAAGTATCCAACCACCAAGATGTGTTTACCCAGTTCTGAGTTGTAAGTTATATATAATCGTCCAATTTAATTGGGAGATTCATTTTCAACAAAGATACATTTTCGGTGGCGAACCCCGGAAATAGGTGCAAGAAGGCAGAAAATGGCAGGACTGTGCCAAACTCTTTGCATCCACGACCACCGATGCAAACAGCCCATCTGGAAAATAACCAAACAATAATTCACAAGCCTGAAAAGTTCAGATGGGGATTCTATCCAATCCTAAGCATCCTAACGGGACGTTGTGGCGATTAATATCTTGAACCCTCAGCAGTTGCTACTTCCGAAGTTGCAACCGCGGGCAGCACATGGCAGCACGCTATTATGGCTGAAATGGTCCAGATTCCAGGGCAGGGTCAGGTTCCTTCCACTCCGAAAAAGATGGAACAAACAGAACGAAAAGAGCGCGTATTTTGCAAGTCTAATTCTAGATCTATGTCTGTCATCTTATTTAATTCTCATTTTCCGGCTTGGGAGGACCTGTCTCTTGGCTCTGTTCTGAACACAAATGAATTCAACACAATATTGTCCTAGAAGATAGAAGCTGAAGAGCTCAGAAATATGATCAATCCATCTTTTCCCATGCAACACGACGTGAGGTCAAAAGCTTCAACCACTGTCGCTCCAAAACACCTGTCGATTGGTCCTTTCTTGAACATGTTGTCCTAGAAACCCCTCTTATCTCAGTTGACAGTCTCATTTATCCCATGTGACATGTGGGTATCAGATGGTGGGTAAGCACCGATTAATACTGAGATACATCTTGAAGGGTTCGAACAACCTTGAGCCTTTCCTATATAGCACCACCCCAAAAACACAAACGTTGATTGGGCCCGGAACCTCGAAAAACGAATCACGACCCATCCAGGCGTATAAGAATCATTCACCACTGTTGATTTGTGTAGATGCTTTTGTTGGACAATACTATTTAGTACTGTGCAACCCTCTATTCATCCTGTCTCCCCTGAACTCATAATTCCCTATATCAAAAATCAAAGAAACGGCCGATCTTGGCTTACACCCATTTGTCCAGATCATGTGTGACCCAACAAATATATCAAGGGTCAATGTTTCATCTTGGCAAATTATGCATAACCGTTATAACCTGAAGATAACTATATAATCTATTTTCGGGAGCATATCCTGAACCATCCATGGTCATCGTTGCGAGCTGGTCACTTTTCTCCGCTGAGAAGCTTGAGACGGCGCCGTCAGGCGCCTGGATCGCCCACCGCCAGGCTCAAAGGTTTCCTGCAAGAAATCCAGAAACACCATCCGACACCCTGGAAAAATTTCAAGCTGGGAATGTCAACAAATCATGAGGAAACCAAAAAGGACTTGCCTACAAATTGGGCTATCACCATCCCGCAAATTCATGGCATCTATGCGTAAGGGAAACAAAACCAAGAGACCCTGGTGAACAGCAAAATACTTGAAGTTGGACCACTAAAGATTGATTGCCCCCAACAATTCCTCTAAAATGGCAGTGGTTGTTTTAATCGTTAAAAAAACTGTGATTTTCATGCATGGATTTTGGCGTTTTCCCGCAAATTTTCCGAGACGGTCGGACACACATCTCAGTAGTCTTGGCCATGCCTTCTCGAGGCCGAGGTTGATCTTCCAAAGCATTTGGACCTCCACAGGATTGAAACCAACCAATTTCTTCCCTTAGGGTCGGCAAAACGATCATGGGGTTGGGAAACTCTTAGCTCCGCCCCCGGCAGGGACGGCAGAAACATGCAGAAACTATGGATAGGCCTTCGTCTCGAAGGTGGTCTTTAATGCCTAGCGTGAAAAAGTCCACAATCCATGGTGTTTACCACTGATTATTTAAAGGCTTCCGGTTTCTATGTTCCAAATCTGCGAGACAATCAAGAAATAAAATCTAATGTTCAACTGCCTGAGGGTCACACCTTGAATTCTTTCTGCAAAGCACATTGGGGCAACAACATGGTTAGGTCTGAAAGCCCAACTTCAATGAGTTCTTGTCTTGCTCACAACCAACAGGTTGACATGACGGAGAATTGACATGGCATATCCACAACTCCCAGGTTTGTTGTTGCACAAATGTTGCTTGATTAGTTTGGTTCATTCAAAGCGTGTGGATCGCAGACTGGCTCCAGCAAGCAAAATGCTGCAAATGCAACAAACTCGAGGCACGAATCAAAACCACAATCAATTGACAACTCTTAAAAGGAATAGATGGAAATTGAAAAATCTAAAACCATTTCTCATTTTTTCAGTGGCGGGGGCCCATCATCCTGTAGCAAAACACATGGACAAAGCAACAAAACCAGGAGAAGTCGAAATAGAGAATCTCCTGGTTTGGAATGACTGTTTCTGCGGGACATCAAGCAAATACTAGGCAAAATGCTGTCTATGAAGAGGAAGGAATGAAGGCCACAATCATTCAAGGAAAGAGTCAAGAAGCTGCGCACCGGTCGCAATTCGATATGTTTTCCAACGTGTTTCGCACCTCTAGTGTCTGTTGAAGCAGAACTGCAAGCCTGTGGAGCTGATGCCAGAGCTGCACTCAATAATGGCTTAGGCTTGGCTAAATTTAGTTCAACTGTATATTGAATCATGTATTATTGACAATATATTGACAATATATTGACAGATGGTCCTCACCTCACCGGGGCGCTGACATCATTTTGGCAGCCTGAGCCCAAGTCCAACAGAGAACAACCAACAACCAACAATTAACCCTCTATATATATATATGTGTATATTATATATATATATGTATATATATATATATATTGCTTAATAGATCAGATTCCAATATTGGCGTATCGTAATTTCCACTCAACAAAGTTTTTTCAATGGCGTGTTATCCATTAACCCTCTATATATATTATATATATATAATTATATCAACAAAGTTTTTTCAATGGCGTGTTATCAGGCACTATCCCAAGCAAAACCTGCCTCAAATTGACAGCGAGATTCAGTCGATCCAACGTGGCCTGGTACGATGCTTGAGTGATGACTTGGGTTACCAAAATTCACCGCGAAAGCAAACAGTGTAGACTCCATGTAATATGGGTACAACATAATCCCCCAGTCATCACCATTTTTATAGGTGGTATGGTTCCCATTCCCAAATGGGTGGTTGATTCTTGATTTGCCCACGTTATATCCAATGTATTTATAGTTGTTATGGATGGTTGATTGGATTGAACGATGCACATAATAAGTGTTTTTTGACTGGTATCAAATATGATGACAAGAATTCATTGCTATCTGATTGTTGCTTGATGGTTGCCAAAGATAACAATGGTTAAAAATGGTTTTGTAATGTCAAATATACTAAGAATTGAAAAAAACCTACCCTCAGCAGGCCTCCAGCTCGTCGAAACCTCACAAGCCAAACAACTATAACAACGTCCTATGCTTAAAATAATTTCTAGTTGATTGGTGGTTTAGCCACCGATACTCATTGCTCATCCCCTGATCATCAGTCATCAATAGTTAACAGGCATGATTGGTCAACCATGAATCAAGTGGTTCGTGTTGTTTTCACACAAGTATGCTCGAAAACAAGTTGCGTAAATTCGGAAAACCACTGGGTCTCCCAACGCTTCTTATTGTAGAGGACATCCTCCTGGCGCCAGAGGATGACCTCGCAGCCAAAATCTTGAAAATCATGCGAGCAGACCAATCGGAAAACGTCGCACTCCAATCAGTTGAGCGCCTGGAGCTCCAGATCAGCCAATTCGGTGCAAAACTCATGCGGCGGCACCTGCGAAAATCTCCATATGCTGTACAGAGATTCTTCGAACATATGGTATATGGATGGCAAATGCCAGTGTATATATATATATATATACACATATGTTACACATACATATATATATATTAATAAGAAGAAGAAGAAGAATTATTATTAATAATAATAATATTGATATTGATATTAATAATAATAATGATAATAATAATATATATATATTGATATTAATAATATATATATATACATGCACCATACATGGATCCCGTGTGGACTGATGGGCGATTTTCGCTGGCTCAGCTTCCCATGCCCGTGACTTGGTGAATCAAATAGTATACTAAAAGTATTCAATTGTATATGTTGGCGGTTTGTGTATAGATCTATCATTCCTGCAAGAATCCCCTGAAACAAATAATTTGACAATGTAGGTTATCACTGTATCCCAAACAATGGGTATATCCCAAAACGTTGTTTAGTAGGAAAACTACCAATTTTACGGTTTCCCCCAGGTGTTTCATACCACGGGGAAGGATTGTCGGATGGAAACCATCCAAAAATAGGGTGCTTTTTGACCAAAAATCGCCCAAAAACACATGGTCACTCATGGTCACTCATGGTCACTGACACTTCCCAAGAAGGGGTGCTTAACACCCTGGGGAAGGATGATTAATTGGGGACTCCATTTGGGCCGCTAGGGTACCGAGCAACCCCTCAAAAATAAATAAATGATTTTTCACGTCCCAAAAATGATCAGCATAGTCTCTCTTGGCCATGCCGTATTGGCCATGCCGGTCACTTTTCATAAAGCCCATTAGTATCCATTAGTAAGATAATGGTTTAAGGTGCTTAGTAGTCATTACAAACTATTCGTTAGAGACCGAGTATTAACTGTTTTGCTTGGGACTATCAACCAACTATACACTGATTATAGCTAATGATTCCCCACACCAAACCCCAAACCGCACTGCCACGCAAGCCCAGCTTGGTCGCTGTGATTGGGAGCCCCTCGAGCGCCTCATATGAGCTTTGGCACTCGGAGTCCTTCGTTCAGTGACGTGCAGCGCCACATGTAGTTGCTTAGTGGATGAACACCACAGAGCCCTACCAGTGAATAAGGGATACCACCGATGGTTGTTTATGTCAATTTAAGGTCAGTAAAACGGTAAAACGGGTAAAAATTGGTGGCTTCATGAATAGTAATCGGTATTGATGAGTTGAAGGAGAAATGAGACCAACTACTACTGCTGCTGCTACTACTACTACCACTACCGCTACCGCTACTGCTACTGCTACTGCTGCTACTATTGATTCCCCATCCAAAACCCCAAACCGGACTGCCACGCAAGCCCGCCTCCTCTGAGCTTTGGCACTCCGGGTCCTTCGTTCAAATGAAACACGACTCTGCTGCAAAAAGGTATCATTTCTCCTTCAACTCATCATTACCGATTACTATTCATGAAGCCAAAAATTGTTACCCGTTTTACTCTTTTACTGACCTTAAATTGACATAAACAACTATCGGTCGTATCCCGTAATCACTAGGTAGGGCTCCGTGGATATGATCTTATCAACAGCTATTTGTTCAGCATGACGAAGCATTCACGGAGACCACTTTCAGATGAGGTTCTGGAAGTGAAAAGGTTTATTGATTCGAAACAGAACGCATCAACAGGTCCAAAACCCACTGTGTCTAGATTTGGTCTGTGGCGATGCTGTTCTTGTTTGCCTGCTAGTCTACACGTCGTTTGCAACAAACGTTGATCACGAGGAATCGGCAAGGAGGAATATAGCCATGCCGAACAGTCTGTCATCATGAACAACCGATGGGAGGTGAGGTGCGCCTCTGACTTCTGGTCGTCGCTCTCTGAGTCTGAGGTCGCCTGGATCAAGAGTGGAAAGGCAGCAATCCTGTGGGAAATGAAACTTTTCGCATCACAAACATGAGAACAAGTACATATGGTGCCGTGTCGCTCAGTCCCCCCTGCAAAGGATGGTCATAGTCTGACAAGGTTTGATGTATGGTTGGGATTATCAACCAACTACTATTAATGATTCCCCATCCCAAAACCCAAACCGGACTGCCACGCAAGCCCGCCTCCTCTGAGCTTTGGCACTCGGAATCCTTCGTTGGCATGTATTGAACTCTTCCCCCTCCCCGCTGTGGATGTGGGTTTGCTTCTGTCTTCTTGTCAGTATTCCCCCTCCCCCTGTGGTGTGGGCTTGTGTTGGAGTCGGGAGGGTTGAGAGGTTGTTGTTCATGTAATATAGTATATACAGTAGTATATAGTGTGTTATGGTATATAGTGTGCATAAATAAAGTAAAAAGGTTATAAGTGTTATATATATGTATATTATATATATACAGTACATAAAATATGTGTGATATTCAAATGTATAATATGCATAGTATATACAGTATGTACAGTATGAAAATAGTAAATACAGCAAATTTACTATGTAAAGTACCTATGGTACATGTAGTGTGTATAATACATATATGTATATTATATATATATATTGTATGATGCGCAAATCGCAATTTCAAGTACGGTATGGTATGTTCATTATTCTGTATGAATTATCTTATCCCTTTTCAATGTGATTTCATGTGTTTTCATGTAAAATCCAGTGGGCGCAACCTGATAGCTGTGAACGGCTCCTTCATCGCGTCGTTGGCCACTGCTGCTTGCTGCTCCAACCTTATTGTCATGGGTGAAGAAAATGCAGAAAGCACACGAAAAATCATGAGACTACCAGTGAACATGTCGAAATCATACAAAATCTAGAGTCTACATTTTGATACATTTATGTAAATACATTCAATTTGACGGGATTCTGGATTGTTCGATGCGGCATATCAATTGTGAATGGCAAAAGCGTAAAGGTTTACCTGCTTGCGAATGGGGACACGAGTTACATTTCTGAGACTAGCCACTGATTCACCTTCGGCTCCAACACAGCCAGCTGCTCCTCCATGGAGGCTTTTTCCTTGATGGTGGTGTCCAACAAACTTCGTGCTTCAAGCACCTAGACTCAAGTGCCAAACCTCAAATCGGATCACGTGATGCTTTAAACCAAATTATCTGAACACTGATTGTCACACGTTGCAAGTGCCAAGTCTGACTGTCCGAACTGTGACAGTCAATACGTATCCCGACAGGTTCCCAGCCTGCTCCGATGTTTGGTCCAGGTCCGCACTTGGGTTCTCAATGAGGGCTGCTTGCTGAGACAATCTCACTTCGTGAGCATGAGTATCCGCATCCAAGGAGCCTTGAAGCACATGGCGACCATGGCCACCCCATGAGATCCACGAGTTACCAACCGATTCTCGACTCATTCTTTATGCTGCAATCAGAGTGGCATGAAGCATCCTGCATTACTGCATGTTACATCATGTTACAGCATCAATGCAAGGAGAAAACACTTCGCTTCAACGCTCTGGATGCAAGCAAGTTGCTTGACCTCTCTGACAATGTCGCCACATATCTATGGCTGTTGACTGTCTGGACCAGAACTGCGTGTGTCTGTTCCCAGGCATCAAGTTCCACCTTTGTCTTCTCCATCGAAGCACCTCGCGGAATGGTTCTATGCCCCATGGTAAGCATGTTTTTTCTGTTGAGAAAACACTTGTAGTCTCGAGTCTCCAGCGGGTCATGGAGTCTGAGCATCTGACGAAGCTGAGCAAGATCCCGGTGGGTCTCACACTTATCCTCCTCAGACCTGGCGCACGGCCCCGGCGGGGCTCAGCACTCCTCACTCCTCAGGGAGGGCATGCTCCAGCCTGGCGAGTCTGGCGCGCGTCTCCTTCACTTCGGGCTGCAGCTCCTGCAGGTAAACGCTGGTAACGGCGTCAAAGGAGCTGCGCACATCGCTATTTCAAGTATGCTCATGATTCTGTATGAATTAACTTATCCTTTTGCAATATGTTTCCAATGTGTTTTCAATCGTGCGTGTTTTCCAGTTGGGCAAACTGATAGCTGTGAACATCTCCTTCAGGACGTCGCTGGCCACTGCTGCTTGCTGCTCCAACCTTACTATCATTTCCCGACAAAAACTACTGGATGTCAAAGTCATGCAAAATCTAGAATCTACATTCTGATACATTTCAAATTACATACATTGATTGAATTCTGTTCAATGCGGCATATCAATTGTGAATGGCAAAAGCGTAAAGATCCTCCTTGCAAGGCAATGGGGACACGAGTTACAACTCTGAGACTAGCCACTGATTCACCTTCGGCTGCAACACAGCCAGCTGCTCCTCCATGGAGGCTTTTTCCTTGATGGTGGAGTCCAACAAACTTCGTGCTTCAAGCACCTGGACTCAAGTGCAGTGCCAAGCCAATCAACCCAAACCGATCAAATATAATCACATGTGAGTCACAAGATGTCACATGCATTTTTATCATCTATTTCTATGGCCACTTCCGTGGCTTCCAGTTTGACCGCAACCACAGCAGCCTCGGAGCGCACACACCCCAGCTCCTGGAGTACCCGGAGGGGCGACTGGACGCGACTGGAAAATCCTCTATGGCTGGAGGTTTATAGCCAAGGAAATCATCCATAAATGTACGTGTCATCAACAAAATAACAGATTACATTGGAGCCATGTTCAAGTTATGTGTAGTTAATGAAATAAATAGTTGGAATAATGACAGGATCTAGGCATCAAGATTCTTTGATAGGGCTCATGGGAATGAATCATCAACACATTGGCCACTCTAATTGCCTACAAATTGGGCTATCACCATCCCGCAAATTCATGGCATCTATGCGTAAGGGGTAAAACCAAGAGACCCTGGTGAACAGCAAAATACATGAAGTTGGACCACTAAAGATTGATTGCCCCCAACAATTCCTTTAAAATGGCAGTGGTTGTTTTAATCGTAAAAACTCCGATTTTCATGCATGGATTTTGGCGTTTTCCGCAAATTTTCCGACACGGTCGACATCTCAGTAGTCTTGGCCATGCCTTCTCGAGGCCAAGGTTGCTCTTCCAAAGCATTTGGACCTCCACAGGATTGAAACCAACCAATTTCTTCCCTTAGGATCGGCAAAACAATCATGCGGTTGGGAAACTCTTAGCTCCGCCCCCGGCAGGGACGGCAGAAACTATGGATAGGCCTTCGTCTCGAAGGTGGTCTTGAATGCCTAGCGTGAAAAAGTCCACAATCCATGGTGTTTACCACTGATTATTTAAAGGCTTCCGGTTTCTATTTTCCAAATCTGCGAGACAATCAAGAAATAAAATCGAATGTTCAACTGCCTGAGGGTCACACCTTGAATTCTTTCTGCAAAGCACATTCGGGCAACGACATGGTTAGGTCTGAAAGCCCAACTTCAATGAGTTCTTGTCTTGCTCACAACCAACAGGTTGACATGACGGAGAATTGACATGACATATCCGCAACTCCCAGATTTGTTGCTGCACAAATGTTGCTTGATTAGTTTGGTTCATTCAAAGCGTGTGGATCGCAGACTGGCTCCAGCAAGAAAAATGCTGCAAATGCAACAAACTCGAGGCACGAATCAAAACCACAATCAATTGACAACTCTTAAAAGGAATAGATGGAAATTGAAAAAACTAAAACCATTTCTCAATTTTTTCAGTGGCGGGTGCCCATCATCCTGCAGCAAAACACATGGACAAAGCAACAAAACCAGGAGAAGTCGAAATAGAGGATCTCCTGGTTTGGAATGACTGTTTCCGGGACATCAAGCAAATACTAGGCAAAATGCTGTCTATGAAGAGGAGGGAATGAAGGCCACAATCATTCAAGGAAAGAGTCAAGAAGCTGCGCACCGGTCGCAATTCGATATGTTTTCCAACGTGTTTCGCACCTCTAGTGTCTGTTGAAGCAGACTGCAACCCTGTGGAGCTGATGCCAGAGCTGCACTTCCTGCATCTGAAAGAAAGCAGAAAAAGGCAGATCAAACAAGCACAAAACGTGTATGCACTATCCGTGTCTTGATATAGCCATACCTGGGCATGAGACTTTGCAAACAATGGAAGTCGATATAATGCAAAGAAAATACCAAGGAAATACTTAAAAGGCAGCTCAATCTACCTCAAAACAAGATGGACAATTCATGGCAATTCACGCAGGACGGGCAGAACAGGACATGGACCAAGAGAACATGCTCTTGCCCAAAGTGCCACTCCCTGCATCTAAAAAGGCAAAACAAACCAGGTCAAACAAGCACAAAACGTGTATGCACTGTCCGTGTCTTGACAAAACCATACCTGGGCATGAGACTTTGCAAACAATGGAAGTCAATATAATGGAAAGAAAATACCAAGGAAATACAAAAAAGGCAGCTCAAGCTACCTCAAAACAAGATGGACAATTCATGGCAATTAACGCAGCACAGGCAGAACAGGACATGGACCAAGAGAACATGCTCTTGCCCAAGCTGCCACTCCCTGCATCTGAAAGAAAGCAGAAAAAGGCAGATCAAACAAGCACAAAACGTGTATGCACTATCCGTGTCTTGACAAAACCATACCTGGGCATGAGACTTTGCAAACAATGGAAGTCGATATAATGCAAAGAAAATACAAAGGAAATAAGAAAAAGGCAGTTCAACCTACCTCAAAACAAGATGGACAATTCATGGCAATTCACGCAGCACAGGCAGAACAGGACATGGACCAAGAGAAAATGTTCTTGACCAAGCTGCCACTCCCTGCATCTGAAAGAAAGCAGAAAAAGGCAGATCAAACAAGCACAAAACGTGTATGCACTATCCGTGTCTTGACAAAACCATACCTGGGCATGAGACTTTGCAAACAATGGAAGTCGATATAATGCAAAGAAAATACAAAGAAAATAAGAAAAAGGCAGCTCAATCTACCTCAAAACAAGATGGACAATTCATGGCAATTCACGCAGCACGGGCAGAACAGGACATGGACCAAGAGAACATGCTCTTGCCCAAAGTGCCACTCCCTGCATCTAAAAAGGCAAAACAAACCAGGTCAAACAAACACAAAACGTGTATGCACTATCCGTGTCTTGACAAAACCATACCTGGGCATGAGACTTTGCAAACAATGGAAGTCGATATAATGCAAAGAAAATACAAAGGAAATAAGAAAAAGGCAGCTCAACCTACCTCAAAACAAGATGGATAGTTCGTGGCAATTCACGCAGCACAGGCAGAACAGGTGCTGATCCAGTAGAGAGATCTCAACATCTCTCATGGCTACCACAGGGATTTCTCGCCCTTCATCCAGGATCCAGGTTCTACATGTTCTTTGCGAAACAAGGAGGTTAAATACGCAGAAAAATCAGTCTAATCGGGACCAACATCATCCCCCCAACCCTGGCCCAAACTTCAAATGTCAATCAACTGCTGCCAGTGTGACCCAAAGGTTGAGCGGAAACATGACTGCGCTTCGGTATCTTCGGTTTTTTTGCCAGGTTCATTCTCGGTCGAGTTGGTTTGGTCCTTGTCTTGCGAGGCTTCAGCTTGTTCCTCATGCAGGAAGAGTAGCAGGAAGTGGCTCCCAAGTTGTCAAGGCGGCCTTGTATACGAAACACATAATTATTAAAAAAAAAATGGTAGCAAATGAACATAAATAAACCAGGATGCGATGTTGGTTCAAGATTGTTCCAAAATCAGCAAGGCGCCACAAACATCCATAAAATGCCATAAACAACGATCCCCTTTCATGGAATTCATCAATGGCAATCGGGTAGTCTACTGTTGCGCTAGGCCACGGATCACATACGGAGCGACGCCATTCAGGAAGAGCATCAAACACTGCTCAGCATGTGATCCGAAAGAGTCCAAAACTGGCGGTCAAGGTTGCATGCTGCTTCGACGTCAGCTGGTTGGAAAGCAAAAGTTCCTTCAAATTAGAAGAGTTCAACTACCAGCAGCAACTCTTCCTAGGCAAGATCCTGCACACATTCCAGGGCCAGCCCCTTCCACAAGTGATCTGGCCTCCTTATGGCGTACACCCTTCCACTTTGTGAAGCTGTGGACTGCCTGGTCGAAGGGAAAACATGCTTTCAGCTTTGAATCAAATGGTGGTTTCTTAAAATGGGAGGATTCCATCAAGATCCAAAATTAGTCGCGTTCAATCAAAAGCAATGGCTTTGGGGGTCCCCTAGTTTAGGAAGCCCACAAATCACACCAAAGACTCATGCCTGGTCTGCAAACCACTCGATCTCCGCTTCTGTTTGGAGGATATGAGAGCCCACGCTTCTGCCAGGTTCCAACAGGCAAACAAGAAGAATGGGTAATTTTTTGAGGCATTTTGGTTAATAGGGTTTCCCATGTTAATCCCCAATATTAATATATTATTATTATTATTATGATTATTATTATATATATGATTATTATTATATATATATATATCTGTGTGTGTGGGTGTATAATACTATTTATACTATTGCATATGTAATCACGGCACGGTGCATTTATTTAAAAAAAACATGTGTTGTTAATACGTTGTTTTGTGCGTTCCCCAAAACGTGATTTGCCAGGCGTGTGCTAGGATTTACGAAAAGATCTAACTACTAAAGATTTTTTTTGAAAAAAAAACTAAATTCACTAAAAAGGAAGGCGTATGGCTTGAGAAGCTTCAGAATAAGTACCGAGAATGAGTGATGATTTGGCAAAGGGCCAAGGTAACCATACTTATTTTTGTATTCGGGTTGCAGGTAGTAACGGCAAAGTAAAGTGCAATCGCAGCCTGATGACTGACACGCGTGGCGCGAAATCCCCAAAAAAACACTTGAAAAAAATATTTTGAAGGTGGCCCTGGAAAGCGTGGTCTTCACCCAAAAATACCATAAACATATGCATTTCACGTTCTGCCTGGCACCCCTGGAGGAACCCATACTGCAATATAAATTTGAAATGGCACTCAACGGAAACAGTAGCCCCGAGCACGAATCTTTTTGGTTCTGCAGAGAAATATCCAGAGGTTCCTTCCTGCAATTTCCTCATTTTCCCCACGGTTTCCTCGAGTTCATTGGTTTTTCCAAGTTTGCCATTCATTTTTTCCTCTAGTTTAATGACGGTATCACTCCTCACCCCCTTGCAAACTGTCTTGCTCCGAACCCCAACGGACGCCGCTCTCCGAACGGAGCCGGATTTTTTTTAATATGCTTGCCGCTGCGTTCCTTTCCGAAATTCATACCTTTTTTTCAGACCTTTTCCTGCGTTTTCCTACGGTGCCTTCCCGCAATGTCCTCATTTTCCCAACGGTGTCCTCAAGTTTCCTTGGCTTTTCCAAGCTTGCCGTTCATTTTCTCCTCCATTGTCATGGTTTTGCAACATGTTCCTCTATTTTCCTCCATTCGCAACTCTTCGCCACGTCTTCCTCGGCATCACTCCTCATCCCCTTGCTTCTGGCTCCGAACCCCAACGGGCGCTGCTATTGAGCTGCAAACCGTCTTGCTCCGAACCCCAACGGACGCTGCTCCCCGTTGAGCTTCGGATCCTTCGTTTTTTAAATATGCTTGCCTCTATGTTCCTAATTTTTTCAAAGCTTTGCCTTGCCTCCATTGAATGATTTTTCTTCAAACCTTTTCCTGCGTTCATACGGTTTTTCCAGAGGTTCCTTCCTGCAATTTCCTCATTTTCGCAACGGTTTCCTCGAGTTCCTTGGTTTTTCCAAGTTTGCCATTCATTTTTCCTCCCTTTTAAGGGTTTTTTCCAGTGGAGGGGCAAAGGGGGCCGAAACGTGGGTTTCCGACGTTGCGCTGTGATGCTCCCGGGGGCCGGTGGCGCTGCGACGCTGCGACGCTGCGATGCTCTGGGGGGGTGGGCGGCGCTGCGACGCTGCGACGCTGCGACACTGCCAGGGGCCGGCGGCGCTGCGACGCTGCGACGCTGCGACGCTGCGACGCTGCGACGCTGCGACGCTGCAACGCTGCCGTTGGGCCAGTGACGCTGCGGTGCTGTTGACGCTGCGACGCTGCGACGCTGCGACGCTGCCGAACCGGAGCGACGC